GTATACACACACACACACACACACACATATGTATATAAAGAAAGAGTAAGAAAAAATGATGTATTACATCAGAATTGATTTCCAAACTAAATATTGTTAGCATTTCTTGCAGTTATACATTCATCCATTTTTATCCATTTTTCCACATTACGTCACAGGGAGTTTGTGTCCATCTCCAGTGGTCATTAGACAAAAGGCAGAGTGCACCCTGGTCAGGTCACAGAGCCACACAGAGCTAAACAAGGGCAAACCCATGCATGCACAAGGAGAAATACAAATTTCACACAGAAAAGCTGCAGATGAGTTTTAAACCTGTGACATTCTTGTAAGGTGACAACTCTAACCACTGTTTCACTGTGCCGCCCCTCAAATAAATTTATATAATTTAAACAGAGCAAACCCAGAAAAAAAAAGGGTGGGGGCTTGCAAAGAAACTTTCATGACGTTGACTCTTTTATTGTACACAAGCCCTGAGGAGTAATCTCTGAATATTCATCGAGCTTGTGATACAAAAGGATGGAACTGTCAGGGGACGGACATGAAAGCAAAGCCCAACTGATTTCAAATCCTGTGCAGGGTGGGCTGCCTTACAAGATGAAAGTTCTTAACAAACAAACATTTTAACAATAACAGTTTATATTCTCAAGCATTCTCCTTCTGGTTATCAGACGCGACAGGGGAAGGAGAGCGGGAGGGGGTTAAATGGAAGTAAACGAGCGCGGCTTCTTGAGGCCTCCAGTCTCAAATCCAAGGCTCATCAACAGAAGTTAGCGCACAATTAATAAAGTTTTAGCATCATTTGAATTGCAGATTCAAAATGACTGTTATTACAAGAAAAGCAAGCATTATGAAGCTGAATAAACAAGGCAATCAACTCTAGTAACAAGCATGCTTGAAACAGTGAAGGAGAATTTGAAGAGTGAGATGTGAAGTGACAGTTGCAAGAGAACAATGAGCAGATCCAGTAATCATATGTTCAATTTCTATTGGAAGGACAGTCAATCACACGCTGCAAGGAAGCAAGATCACAGCTGTGCTTTGTAAAAATGCCCTGACCATCGATGAGAACACTCGCTGCTTCACACAGGCAGATTTCCAAGCACGGAATGGTTGGTAGTGGTTTGAGGGAAAACACAGAGCCAATAACAAATATGGGAATTCACATTCTCTTTGTTTTACATATTCACATCCTTTCCCCCTCCCTGACTGGAACTGCGCTGCTGCTTTTAAGGTGAGAGCATGCAGTGAGGAGGGAGAACAACAGCGGCAGATTTGCTTAAGCATGCTGGTGCCCTCTACCCTCTGCCCCTTCCCACAGTGAGGGGGGGGGAGCAGAGATATTCCTTGGAGACCCCACAGAGCCTGAGGCTGATGCTCAAGCAGCAGTCTCCATCAGTGAGTCACGGGGCAGAGGCCATCCCGGCACACAGGCCTCCCAAAAATATACACAGATCGCTGAGGAAATCAATATCCCTCCAAACGGAGCGTCTTCCACTGCGCTGCCGCCATCTACACTGGGGCTCGGCTTCGGTAGCAGTGCGCCGGCGGGGCTGTGCGCCCTCCTCAGCCCCAGAAATAAACACACAGACCTGGGCCACTGCTGCCTTCATTATCGCTGCACGTTTTATCTGCTGGCTCTCTCACTTGTGGGCCCCGCGGCAGAACATCTCGTCTCAGCACGGAGAAGAGCAAAGGGTGGATGCTTTTGTGTCTGTTTTGCTGGAGCAACAAGGTTTGCTGTTGATGCCGTCAGAAACAGCAGCCAGCTGGAAGGGAGAAGTCAGCGCAGTGTTCCAGTGAGCTGTGCTGGATTACAAACACCTAGTAAAACCTAGAGGTGATGCACACCGAAGACTGACCAGAAAGTTCTCACAATCACTATTCTCCCTTTGGCTCATTTTTAGCCACTCTACAAAAAGAGTGTAAGGCAAGAAATCTTTATTGAATAGGACTCAGAGAGGAGCAGACAAAGTCAGCTGCAGCCAAGCTGTCAAAATACCGTTTAGATGCTGGAGATGCTTTCAAAACAGTGTTCAAATGACAAAGAAAAAAAGGGGTGGGCTCAGATTATCAAGCATCACTTATCCATTCAAGCGTGTGCAGTTGCACTTTTCTTTATTTTAGTATAGAAATTATGGTGAAAATGGAAAAAGTTGTTTTCACGATGCATAAATTCTTGGTGAAAATCGAAATACAAGTGTTTGGTTGTGAAAACAGAGTGCTGTCTTGGTCACTCGACCAAGCCAAGTTCCAAAAGAAATGCATCCCAGGTCACAAACCACACGCGCACACACACACAAATACACACACTACAACCTACATTTTTCTTTGTCTCGTCACTTAAAATGGCTCCAGTAAAATTTGGTGAGTTGTGAGCAAAGTCTGTCTGAAAGACTGGTATGGGGAAGTAGAAGCAGCGAAGAACAGAAACAAGACAGACAGCCACAGAACTGTAGCTGCTTGCTTCATCGTCAGCCCAAATTTACAGCACTTTTTATATTCAAAAAAACAAATTTCCTTTTCTGTGAGTCATTAAAGTTACTTTCTGTCACAGTAAAAACAACAACAAAGAAATCTTGACATTATTATATATATTTACAAGGGAGTCACAATATTCAAGGCACTGTGGGATAAAATTCAAAAACTATTTTAAGAATACTTAGAATTATGTATTTTGGACTCTGCTTTATTTACATACATATTTCCTTTGGTTTAAACACTTTTATTAAATATACCAAAAACTTGAAAATAAAAATCCAATCATCAAATATATATGGTGTCATAAACAAATATGTAAACTTGGGTTTAATATTTCTTCAATGTTAGAATATTTCCCACCACAGAATAAATAAAGTATCATCCATTTTGGAAGCAATACAGTTTCTCCTCCTCCTCTGATGTTTTGTTATATGAAATCATTCTGGATAATAACAAAATATGAAAAGAAAGACAGAATATCTTTAAAGATAACAAGTGTGAAAAGCTTAGAACACCTACTGGCAGAGAAATGAGTCAAGAAAACAAAGATGGAAAAAGGCCAATCTGTATATACCTTAGTGTGATCTCTTGTCTTAGCCCCTGCATTTTTTTTTCTTTTTTAAAATGCCTACACTTCACAGTGTAGCGCCTTAAGGATACACACATGTGTTGACATTATGATTCACATTTTAACTACCTGTGGCGATGATTCTAATCAAAATCCTAGCAAATAAACTGAACAATTTTTCACAAAGCACAGATGTGGAAGGGCAGGCAAGAGTATGCTGCACAGCTTTCAGTTATGAAAAAAAATCTGTCTATGTATGATTAGCCTCTGGAAAGTTTAGGTTTATACTGTTCCTCTGTTCTTGGGAGTTTTATAAATTCATGCTGGTAACAGCTGCTTTACTCCATGCTAACTTTCTCTTTTAAAAAAACTACTTTGTATGAATCATCAGTACCAGAAAGGACATTTAAATATTTGTTTTGGTAAGCAATGCATACAATACAGTATACCTGTTTAGTCCAAAAGCTGTGAGGAACTCTGCTGAATTTTGCAGCAGGGCAAAGGTTTTTTTTAGTGAAGAAGACCCCTCTATTGTGTTTGAGTTATTTTGAATCCCGGTGAGTCACAAAAGCATCGGTTTCACAGCTGATACCAGTACTGTAAGCTTACAGAGGATGATACCACAGATGCTTTTCAACAACGGCAGAAGGAAATACATACGGATAGTTTTTAGTCTACAGGCAGCACAATATTGACAAATGTGAAAACGTCCAATTTAGACCGAATCCTGTCCAGGTTCCTCTTTTGTATGTCTGAATAAAAACATTACACCTGATACCAATCTAGTACCCACAAACGAGCGCCAAGAAAAAGCTGAGAAACAGAGTGGGAGAAAACAATGAATGAAAAATGCTAATAGCAGATATGAGTCTGACCTTCTCCTGGTTGAAGGCGTCCATTCTTTTCATGGCTGTGTCCAAAGCAGTCATGGACTCCAGAAAGGCCTGGTCCTGCTCACATAGCGGGTTACTCAGCAGATCTGCAGAGATCTTCACTGCAGCTTTAGACATGGCTGAACACCACACATGCAAGCACAAAAAAAAAACTTAAAAGACAGTAAAATAACTTTGTAAAAAGACCAGTTTTAAATATTTCATCAGTGCATGTGTTCTTTATGTGGGAGGAGATCTAAATGAAAGCTTCCATGAAAGATGGCACAATGCTGGCCCCATTGTAAGAATCAGAGAGGTTGGCAGGGCTGCCTGTCTTATTGAATATTCACCAGTGCACCAAGAAATCTTTGCCAGAGCAGAAACCACTGTTAATCGGCACACATGCCACTTTAAGACACAGAGCACATATCAGATTATGGCTTTACTGTCAAAACAAATGAGTTTTGCTTTGGAGACACAACTGACAAGAAAAGCTGCACTGAACTGAGCTGAGTGAAAAAATGGAAAACATGGACGTTTTTTCTGCTATACTGAGATTATCTTCCAAAATATGTTTACAAACCAATAAAAATGACGTGACATGTCTGTTTCTTTAATCATATGAACTCCTATTAGCAAACCATTCAGCTGTCACGACAGATTTGAAAGGGTCACGAAACTCAAAAGATGACCTCAGGGTCTTATGAGCAAGATGCAACATTTGTGTCTGTTTTAATAATCTATGGACGCAATAAATGAACAATAACATTTAAGGCGCAATCTAAAAATATTTTATTCTGAGCGCTTACTCACTGCTGACCAGCTGGCACTGGTCCGTTATTTTCTTCTCCTTCAGGGTGGCTGGGTCTCCACCCTGGCGGTCAGCAACGTCACTCACCTGCTTCTTTTGTGAGTCATTCGTCCCACAGACAGACACCAACTCAGCTCCCTTTGACTGCAGCTGGAAATGATAGTACAAGCTTGCAAAGATTGCTGAGCAGATCAAAAAACATGCCGGCTGCGATCCGAGACAGTGGAGTGGGAGTCTGTCCGTGAAGGAGTCACTGGAGAAGCAGCTGACAAACAAACACGGTCACAACAGTGACCAGGCCAGTCTGCTGATACAGAAGTATTAGAAGGACCGCCAATATTTTTTTAATGAAATACTTTTACATAGCAGTTATTCCTGCAACCTTCCAGGTCTTCTTTTATGTAATTTTAACTATACTGAAATCATGATTTACTCAAATAGAAAACGGTGCACCTAACCAATTGATTCTGAGTTCAACAGCACTCAGAATATGACTGACCTTTGACTTTATAAATGATGGCCAATATGATAGCAATGTATTAAAAGCAGTGGTGACATTCAGCGTAGGTCCAGCTCTTTGCTGGGCAAGGGTTTGTGGAGATGGGACATAAGCAACAGATGGAATCCATTAACAATAATGAGGCCCTGACAGCTATGACACTTTGATGATGCAGACATCCATATTTCCAAACACAAAGGAGAGGAAATGAAGGAGTCTCTTTGCTGCTTCATCCATCTCTGCTCCTCCACCCCCACAACTGACTACTTACCACAGGCCATTTCTACCGCTTCTTCCCAAATATACCATCTCAAAATCGACAAAGCAAACAAATGTGAACATGGATTTTGGTACTGATGAATGCAGAAACAAATACCAGCTAAAATCTAATTTAAATCATTCTCACATAGAGGAACACAAAATACAACCACAGCAACAGTCTAGAAAACCCTGGAAACTAAATATTAGGACATTTGCACTTTGTTTCATTTATTGTCTGTTTAGAGTCAGCACATATAAAGTAGCTTCCAGCAATCACATCTCTCTCCACCCCAGTTAAACCTGCTAAGTAGCATCCAGCACAAGTTGTGAACAATGAAAAAACATGTTTCTGACAGAACACACCTAAATCAGCCTCTGTGCTTTTCTTCATGTCTTTATGAAGCTTCTTGGTCTGATCCTCCAGCCTGTTGGACAAGAAAAAGAAGGATTATCTTTTAACTTCTGTATAAATTAAAGAAACAAGCAATCCTGACAGTAAAAAATTCAGATTAAAATAATTGTATTTACTCCAAAAATGTTGACATCAAAGACACACAGATATGACAAAAACACAAACCAAAAAGATAAAATTAGCAAAACGATATAGTTAAGGAAACAATTACACATTTCACTGATTCCACATAAAATCTGTTATCCAATTACAAACACTGGGAATCCATCTTGTCAATGAAAACTACATTTCTCTTTCTGAAACATTAACGTCTTCAAACATTTCACTCCACATATTCAAATGATGGGAGTAAAAAAAAAAAGACAATTACCAGACTAGGGAGTCTAAAAACAATGCTATTTATTATACCAATTAGGGCCAGAATTGGGTTTAGGATCTCCCAAAGGACAACTCTCATAACGCATCCTCTTGTTGGATAAAAAAAATTAATGCTTTTACATTATTTCATGGACTCAAAGATTTTTTTACATGTTGAGCTGAGATATACTTGCACATATTACATATATTGCAATTTATTATTTGCTTGAAAATGTTTTATATGCTCACAGTGAGTAAGCTACATTACATATAAAAAACCTTGAACAGAAACAGTGTCCCTCATAAAATTGAGATTTAACTGAGTTTGACTCATTAACCCTCCTGAAGGAATTCAAATGTACAATTTATGCCAATAATTTATACATTTCTTTTGAAATAAACACATAGTACAGTACATAGTTTAAAGCCAGTTGTATTTATAATACTCCTGTGAGAAGTCAGACTACAACCAATTTTGTTTTGGATTAAATAAAAATGAAATCAGTTTCACATTTGAACATTAACAAAAGTGAACCAAGAGAATATTTACATACAGTTATTCTATCACATATGTATTTTATCATACTTCTGACAAAAAGCATTTGATGTTGCTATAAAGACACTGATTCTGCTTTAATAATTTGGGTCTGAATGAAACAAATCATTCAAATTATGACCCAACTATCAAATACAAGAAACCCATGGTACAAAACGGCAAATAAAATTAATTCAGTTTAAGTAAGCTGACATTACTGTTAGAAATTACAGTCAAACAAAGCTCACAAAATGAAACTGAATGGTCCCTGGACTGACAGGTCCAACACCTCAAACAACAGGAACAGTATAACGAAAAAGTTTTTGTTATGAAATTGCAACACTAATGCATGTCTTGAAAAAAGTGATAGGACTGAGCCAAGTTAGGAGTGACAAAGAAACACCAAATTGAGCCGAAGAAAATAACAGCACAACACTAACAGCAAAAAACCTTCCCAGCCACATTGATAATGTTGATAGTGGGTGAGACCTTCTCACTATGTAAAAAAATAAATAAATACAATTCTTTGAGACCAAAGTCTGTACATTCACAATGTATTCTTGTCCTGCTTGTTTGTGCATGTGAAACTCATAATGCAGACACTACCTCCTACATTAAAACGTGTCACACGGGACTGTTGCATCTTCTCTACTCTGTCAGCAGTCTGGCAACAAAAGATCTTGTCTGGTTTTGAGGTGAGAGTCTTGACTTTCCTTTCAAAAAGTTCAAATAAGGTGACCTGATGAACAACCTGCTGCTCTTTGCACCAATGACCCAACATCAGCCTTGTGTGCAACCACAACCATCACATAACATGAAGTACTAAAAACTGGACTTTACATAGTCTTTAAAGGGTGACAGCTGGTAAGAAACAGGCATTCCACCATGTTTGGCAATCCACACCACATCTTTTTTTAGGTAATTGTCATTCACACAACAGCTGAGTGAGGCACTGCAGTTCTGTGCAAATTAGGGCTGTGTATTGGCAAGGATTTGGCGATACGATACATATCATGACAGAGGGGTCACGATACGATATATTCCGATATATTTCGATACTGTAAACAAGGCGATTTATTGTGATATTTTTGGTCCAAAACTTCTATTAAATAAAAACCTCTTACTGGGGGAAAAAAATATATAAAAAATCATTGTCTCAGAAAATTCTAATATTACATAGACATACTTTTGATACATTTAGCTGTGTTCTGCTTTGT